GGTCAAGTGTTTCAGGCAAACAAAGTCGTATCGTTATTGAATTCAATCCATCACTCCCAGTGGCAGTCGATTTAATCGATAAAATGATATCAAGAACGATTTCTTGTGTTACTGTATGAAGAGTGAAAGGAGTCAAATTATTATCAAAACGGTTGTTGGAGTAAAAATTGGCTGTATTATTAACTACATTATTGGAGTGATCGTCGAATGTAAAATTTGAGAGGAAATGATTATTAGTTTCCTCTGGATCAGATAAACTATCAGGAATCTCAATTCGTTTCTGCTGACAGATATTCATACTTCTCAAATTTTTCCACAGCTTTCCCGAGTTCGAAATATCCAGCTGGGTTAAATATGCCTTCTTTTCTCTGCGAATCGAGGCCAGTGCAAAATTTCTACGGTCCTTATACGTCCGCCAATTTTGATCTGTTTTATTTTCCCGATATGCCCGAAGCGCATTGTCTCGCAAACGAAGTATACGCGTTAGATTTGATGTCAACCAATGAGCAGCAGCTTTGGTAATGCATGCAGACCTGATTGGGGCAACTTCATTATATAAGTGAATCAAACGCTCAGTGAAAATCGAAACTTTCGTATCAATGTCTTGTACATAGAAAACATCATCCAAATGCAAAGTTGTTAATCGTTCTTTAAGCAGCTCAATATTCACATTTTTTAGATCTCTATATGTCAAAAACTTTGCTTCTGGTCTAGGAATAGTCACGAGAAGTTCACAATATACCAACCTATGATCTGAAATGATATCAGCATTTAGCCTTCCAGATTTGTTTAACATTACCCCAGCATTGATGAATATAGGATCTATCAATGTAGAACTGAACTGCGTAATCCTAGTTGGCTCAATGATAACTTGAGTAAATGGAAAGTAAATTCTCAGTATGACGTACTGAAGTGTTATAATGATTTAACATTGAAAGCATGGACATATGCAGACATATGAAATTGTTACAGTAATTTCTGTAGAAAATATAATTTTTTTTTAACTTTGAATCATACGGAACAGAACATTTCTCTTCTTTATTATTTTTCCAAGTGTGTGAAAAGGGATATTTGAAAGAGTCATTATGGATCTTTGCACACCTCAATAAGGTATATTTTTCATGGGAAGACAAGTTGCCGCTGAAATTTACATATGGCGCAATATCAACACAATTGGATCCTTTAGGTTTCGCATCAATTGTTTAACACTTGGTTCCGCATACGGTGCAACATCAAGAAACTTTGAAGTGGAAGGCTCGGGCTGAATTGTAGGATTATCATCAGTTTTTTTCCGGTAATTCTTGTGCCGGTGGATCAGACAGATTGTTTTGTTTAGAAAGTAACCAATCGATGGTATTCTGTTTCCTTTTACTCATCCTGACAACAGCAGCCGTCAACCAGCACTAAAAGTTACACAAATGTTGTCAAATAAAGGGTATTATTGGTATCCATGCATTCACGTATCTCATAACAAAGAACCTTTTCTGTTTGGAAAACAAGATTTCTTAAGTTCACGCAATTTTCATAAACTAAATATATAATTTGCCATCTCGAACGAACGAAATGCACTGAAGTACGTATACAGGGTGTTTCAGTTTATTGTTGCATAACTTTAAGATTCGATAGAACTTTTAAAATTAATGCATAAAGTCTATATAAACATGGGTCGAAAAATGCGTGGCTTCCGAAATACAGGATGTTTAAATTTAGTTTCTAAAATAGTTTTTTTTTAAATATTTCGAACAATGTTTGATGTATAACAGTGAAAATTGGTATACAAGGGTTTTTTGGTACGATAAAACGAACCATGGGCATAGTTTTACTGTAGCCGCTAGACGGCGCTCTCTACTGTACCTGTAGTGTATTAAAATGACCGAATTTTTCTTAGTTTTTGCTTTTTGAATAAAAAAACTGATTCTTCGCAGTTTCCTGCATAAAAAAGCTCTCCTGTGAGTTTTCGTTATAGTTAGCCGTTTTTGAGATATTCTTATAATTTTTAGAAGTAGGCTGTGCCTGCAAATATTTTTTAAATTGAAAGCAGAATAAGGTTAAGCGTCAATTAGTTGACAGTTTTGCAATTGTGAATGCACGAAATTTAGTTTCTTTTACCTGTTTTTTTTTTGTAAGTTTTATAAAAATGCCATTTTTATTCTCCAATCAAGAGTTAGCGGATATTCATTTTGTGTATGGCTTTGTAAATGGAAACGCAGCAGAAGCAGCCAGAGAATACGCACGAAGATTTCCAAACAGACGACATCCAACTCGCTCAGTATTTGTAAGAGTGAATCGCCAAATAATTGAAAATGGTTTTGAAAATCTCCAGAGGGATCAAAACATAAATATTCGTCAGCGCAGATTTACCCGTATGATTCTGCGTGAGTTTGATAGAGATCCGACCACAAGTGTTAGGAGAGTTTCTGGTGCCTTGGGAATTTCAGCAAGCCATGTTCACCGTGTTCTTAGAAATGACCAATAGACGTCCTTACCATTTGCAACCTGTGCAAGGACTACAGCCAGGGGACGGAGAACGAAGAATCACATTTTCTCAGTGGATTCCTGATAGAACTGATGATAATTGGGAGTTTTTAAGTAACGTTTTATGGACCGATGAGTCATGCTTCACTAGACGTGGAGTGGTAAATTTTCATAATCAACATATTTGGTCGCATGAAAATCCGCATGCAGATCGGGAAAGAAATTTTCAGCATGAATTTAGTGTGAACGTGTGGATTGGTATCTACCGTAATCGACTATTTGGACCCTACCTTTTGCCTGCAAGGTTGAATGCTGCGACCTTCTTGGAATTTTTAAAGGCTGAGCATGCAAATATGTGGGATGATGTTATGTTAGATTTAAGAAGATTGGCCTGATTCCAGCTTGATGGTTGTCCAGCTCATTATGCGAGAGTAGTTAGAAACTGGCTGGACGAAAATTATCCAGAAAAATGGATCGGCCGTAGAGGACCAGTCGCCTGGCCTCCACGATTCCCTGACCTAAATCCATTAGATTTCTTTGTGTGGCGATTTCTAAAAGAAAAAGTGTACCAGACTCCCGTAACCACAAGAGATATGCTATTAGACAGAATCAGGAATGCATGTGATGAAATAAGGCCTTATTTGAATAATGCTATACCGCGTTCCATCATTCGTAGATATGAATTGTGTATTGGACAATTGTGTTTACATTTCGAGCAACTACTTTAGTTGTATGTTTGTTCTAACTATCTAATAGCATTTTAGTTGTAAATAATTAATTCAATTTGTTAAAAATAATATTGGAAAATTAAACAACTTAATATTATGTTTTTTGTGTTTATTTGGAGTTGGGAATTATTGCTGTGTTTAAAAACACAATCTAAACGATCATCTTAATTACTTGTAATGCCCAGATCGAAAATGTGAAAAAAAATATTATTTTCCCATAAATAATTAAAAATGCATCGAACCTTAAAAATCGAAATATCTCAAAAACGGCTAACTATAACGAAAACTCACAGGAGAGCTTTTTTATGCAGGAAAGTGCGAAGAATCAGTTTTTTTATTCAAAAAGCAAAAAATTGCACTACGAAAAAATTTTCGGTCATTTTAATGCACTACAGGTACAGTAGAGAGCGCCCTCTAGCGGCTACAGTAAAACTATGCCCATGGTTCGTTTTGTCGTACCAAAAAACCCTTGTATACCAATTTTCACTGTTATACATCAAATATTGTTCGGAATATTTAAAAAAACTATTTTAGAAAGTAAGTTTGAACACCCTGTATTTCGGAAGCCACGCATTTTTCGACCCATGTTTATATAGACTTTATGCATTAATGTTAAAAGTTCTATCGAATCTTAACGTTATGCAACAATAAACTGAAACACCCCTGTATATAGGGACTGAGACAAAATAGACATACATGATAATGATAACTGGAGTATGGACCAAACACTTCGTAATTGAATTATATTAAATTTGCAGTTTTCCCTCTGCCATTTTTTTAGACACGATTCTTTTATAGTATAAAAATCAAAAGCAAACAAAAATGCATCTTCTGGCTTATGCGTGGAAAATAAAAAATCAATAGAACATAGCGTTAATACCGACTTGATCAACAAAACTCCGCTTGTTCACTTCTCAGCCAAATTTTGTTGCGGACTCCTAACTGGTAGAGAATTTAGACACTAGACTAGAACTAGACCATAAAAGACTAGACTATGCCTGTTCCAAGAGGAAGAAGCGCACACCGTTGCTGTTGGTTTGAAAGTAGTGGCTAGTCGCATGCGCACTGAGCGGCTTGGCAGTGTTGCCGCTATCCCTTCTTAAAGTTACAGATTTTTTTATAAGACTTTTACTTTATACCACCTTTTCAAAGACTGCTCGAGTCGTCTGGGGGAGGGGGTAATCACCCCCTTTATCCCCCCCTCCCCACCCCCGGAGCGACAGTGACTGGAATCTTGTCAGAGTGTCGCTCCCACGGTTATATGTCTCGCTACAAATGGTTAATATTTGTCTACTGTGTTTCCGTTTTTTCCAGTTTATTTTCCAATATTTTAAACACAATGTCGTTTCAATAGGACGAGAGAAAACAAACGTATACCTACTATATTAATACTTCTAGAAAAAAGGTCGAGCGAGTTATATTTCTTTGTAAAGAAACTGGATTACGTGACTTGCTGATTTGACAAGGTCATGCAGTAATCGATAATGCAGCCATTTAGTACATGCTATATTTCAGTATGAGATATTTTTTAAGTCATTAAGTTCCTATAGTAGTCTCGGTGCCCCGGTATTTAGGTTTCTGAGAAACATTTTTTGAATATATTGCGTATATTTTTTAATTCAATAACAAAATGGGAGTCCTCTTTTGGCCACTGCTATTTGACAGAACACTATGTTTTTAGGTCCGCTGGTAGAAAACTTACCTCCATAGAAATTTGAATTCATTTCAGATATCGTTATTATTGCATAATTTGTTTATATTACTACAACAGTACATCTCTAATGAAAGTTTTTGTTTTGCAGACGATCTTTCCGCCCAAATGCCGTCCGAAAGATGCGAAGGAGGGCAGTTTTCAAAAATGGCGACTGCAATATTCTCCAATCAAGAATTTCGAGACGAAGGTTGAGGTATCTCCAAGACATTTTCACCACATTGGTAGATTCCCAGTGGAGATGGACACTAACTATATTTGCCATAGGATTTATAGGTATGTATATTTTGAATATCGGTTAATACCGTCCCACGCAAAGATTTAGAATAAAAACTTTAGACTATAACCAAGATATACAGGGTGGCGCATCGAAAACGAAACAAGCATTTACTGGCAGCACAGTTTTTTTTTTGGAAAACCGCTCAGACTCGTCGATTTTGTTTTCTAGGGGGACACAAGTTTGGCAAAAAATCACGTTAGCACGTGCAGCCCCCTAAGCGGGGCTGACACCACCCCCAGAATCTTAAATGGAAAGGGGGGTCGAGTGATACCTTATTTTAAAGGTCTTCCAATTCCCTTTAAAATGATATAAAATTAATGTACTTCAGCTCAGTAGTTTTGAAGATTTATTAATTTAAAGCTTAATTAAAACTAATACATCAGCATTAGTGGAGATCAATACATTTGTCAGCAAAGTAGTGATGAGTAATCAATACTTTTGCAAGTATCGAATAGATACCGATACTCTATCTGTAAGTATCCCATACTGAGTATCCAATACCGATACCAAGTATCGGCTCGATTAATTGCCGTTAGTATCCGTTAATTTATAATAATAATAAATAATAATAATCCTGTTCGTGTCTTTATGTCGCTGATCCAGACCCCGACCTTCGAATTCCCCTATAAGTAGGTATCATCGAGTGTAGACTAGAAATTAGAAAAGACTGATGAGTAGTGATGAGCGATACCCTGAATTTTAAATTACATTGCTATATTTGTTATTGTTACAATATTGGTTAAAAATAAAATATAAGTTCTGGGCTTTTGTAACCAGAAATTAATTTCAGCCTTTTGCTTCAGTTAAGTATTAGCTAACACTTAAATTCCCAAAAGTTCCCCCAATTGACAACCGGAACGTGCAACAACCCAAAAATCGTATTCAAATTACCAATCTCGTAAGACTGCCTTAGTTTTTTATCCTTTCGGTTCCCAATACCTAAGATCGAATCTATATCGAATATCGATATCGACATCTACATAAAAGTGGCGGTAGACATCAACATCCTTATCTTAACGAGTTCTGGGAATCCCACGTGTCGGCCTCGACGTTGCGTTGAGAAGAACTGCTGGGTTATGTCATATCAAATAGTATAGCTTACATATTTACATAAGTTTAGAAGTGCTTAGTGTATTTTATAAAGGGTTGTCCAATAGGGACGCAGGAAAGTAAACGTCAATTTGACATAGACGCCATCTTTGTTTTCTGTCACCGACATGTCATTTTGTTAGTTGAATGTTTACCATTGATCGCTATGGAGTCGTATTCGATTGAAGACCGCATTAAAGTTATTCAAGAGCACTACAAAAATGGTGCAAAAATAAAAAACACGTTTCGCGTGCTTCGTGAACATTTCGGTCGCAACAACCGCCCAAACGAAACAACCATGGGTCGTCTGGTGCGTAAATTCGAGGCAACAGGTTCTGTGGCAAATCTGCCAGGCTCTGGCCGGCCAAGGAGCGTTCGCACACCGGAAAATATTGCTGTTGTGAAGGAGAGTGTGAGAGACGATCCGAAACAATCAACAACGCGTCGATCCCTAGAATTGGGCATTTCGAGAACCAGTTTGCTCCGCATTCTCCACAAGGATTTGAATGTACACGCCTACAAGATCCAATTGACGCAAGAGCTGCGTCGGGCCGACCATTTTTCGCGCCGAACGTTCTCAGATTGGCTCCTTGAACATCGCCAAATTGATACCAATTTTTCATCAAAAATCATGTTCAGCGACGAAGCGCATTTCACTTTAAATGGGACGGTAAACAAGCAAAACTGCCGCATCTGGGAGAACGAAAATCCCCGTGAGTATCAAGAGCAGCCGATGCATCCTCAAAAAGTGACTGTGTGGTGAGCATTGTGGTCAAAAGGCATCATCGGACCTTACTTTTTCGAAAATGCGGCCGGGGACGCCGTTACCGTCAATTCTGAGCGATATCACGTGATGATAGAGGACTATTTTTTGCCGCAACTTGAAGGAATGGATATGGACGATGTTTATTTCCAACAAGACAGTGCAACATGCCACACAACCAACGTCAATATCCATCGATTGCAGTCCTTCTTCGGTGATCGCGTTATTTCGCGCAGAGGAAATTTGCCATGGCCGCCAAGATCGTTCGGTTTGACTCCCTTGGACTTCTTTTTATGGGGATATTTGAAAAGCAAAGTCTACATCAACCAACCAGCCACCCTCCAAGAACTCAAAAACAACATCATTGCCGAGATAAATGCCATAGAACCGACCATGTTGCAAAATGTCATTGAAAATTTCGACCATCGCGTGGACGTCTGTAAATCCAGTCGTGGTGAACATTTGAGCGATATTATTTTTCATACATAAATGGTATAAATTAACCTTCAAAATAAAGTACCCAACTTGATTTGAATATCAATCTTTCTTATTTAATATGCGTTTACTTTCCTGCGTCCGATTTGGATAACCCTTTATAATATATTCTCTTTTTCAAAATATAATAAAATATGAGTGATAAAAGAAGGAGTGGTGTTTGGTTGTATTTCAATGCAATTGATTCAAATAAAGCAAAGTGTGACATTTGTAAAAATGTCTTATCCTATAGAGGTGATGCAACCTGCAATTTGAGGAAACATTTGAAGGCGAAGCATTTTGCGATAATAACGGAAGATCTTCCATCTCCTTCGTCTTTAAGAACATCTGCGGAGTTGGAGGAAATACCAACAACTTCTTCTACACCTCAGAAAAAAAATTGATAAGAGCAAAAGACGAATGCCTTTTCCCTCATCAAAACAATCTGAAATATCGACTTTTGCTACGCGGCCAATGTCTATTCCTCGTACTAAGAACCTGTATATAAAAGTTTTAATCATGATTATAAAAGTCATGCAGCCATTTACAATTGTTGAAGATGAAGGGTTCAGAGAATTGTTAGAAGAGTTTGATCCTGCTTATAAACTTCCTTCAAGAAAAACTTTAAGCAACAGTTTGTTGCCCCAAACATATGATGAGGTTGTTCAGAAAGTAAAGAATTTTCTAAAAAATTCGGAGTATTTGACGATTACGACAGATACTTGGACATCCACAGCTGCTGAAAATTATTTGGCCATAACCGTACATTATTTTTCTGTCACTCTCTGTCTACACTACAGTATGTATAAATAGTCAGATTGTCAGTATTTATTACAGTATTCGATACATTCATTAAAAGGTATCGGATACTTCTGACTTCGGAAAGTATCGGATCTTTTGTATCGGATAGATACTTTTTGCCCACCACTACAGCAAAGTAATTTAAAAATGAAGAATGAACTGACCCGTTAGGCAAGTAAATGTTGAAAATGGCCACCATGACTCTCCATGCAATAATAAAGATTTTGCTCAAAACGTTACCGCACATTTTGCAATATTTGAGGAGTAATCTGAAGGCACTCATTCACAATTCTTTGTCGCAGTTCTTCTAATGTGTAGGATATATTTTGCTTTTTAAATGATCCCACATAAATAAATCCAAAGGTGATAAGTCTGGCGATCTTCGGGGCCATTCAATGGCAACCTCGTTTACCAATCCATCGATCTGGAAACGTCTGATCAAAATATTGTCGAACAATGCGTAATGTGGTGGGGCACCATCCTGTTGGAACATCAACCTATTCGCAATGTACCGCCGATCATTCTGATTTTCAATTATGGCTGTTAATGAAGGATCTATTGCGTCTTCCAGTAATTCCAAATACATTTCACCGGTCAAATTTCCAGTTAAGAAAAATGGACCAACTAAATGATCGCCAAAAATACCAGCCCAAACATTTATTTTTTGTGGCTGCTCATGATAAATTCTGGGATTAGAGTCTGACCAATATCGGCAGTTATGACGATTTACAGGCCATTTAAGAAAAAGGAACATTCGTCGGAAAAGCAAGTGTTGAATAGAAAATGTTTGTCGTTTGTAATTCGTTCACTCATATCTTCACAAAATTGTAATCGCTGATCAAAATCGTCTTCATTAAGTTCTTGTACCAGGTGAATTTTATACGGATGATAACTATGGGCCTTTAGAATCCGTTGGACAGTACGTCGACTAACACCACACACTTCTATTGCTTCGTTCCTTATGGGATTTTCAATGTTGCCTTTTTTGAAAATTATAGCCGAAGACATAACAGAACCACTCACTTACCTAATCAACAAATGCTTTGAATCTGACATATATCCCTCAATTTTAAAAAAAAGGTAATATAATACCGATACATAAATCAGGAACAAAAACAGATGTTAACAACTACAGACCAATATCAATAATATCCAGTGTAGCAAAGGTTTTTGAAAAAGTTTTATCTACTAGAATGATTCGATACCTCACAAAATTCAAAATTTTAAGTGAAAATCGATATGGATTTACAGAAGGAAAGGCTACATCGGACGCAATATCTAAAATTGTAAATCAAATACATCAAAATATTGATAACAGAATCCCTTCAATTTGCATTTTTGTTGATTTAGAGAAAGCTTTCGACACAGTTAATCACAAATTATTATTAGAAGCATTGGAGAGAATTGGTTTCAGAGGAAACGCGTACTCACTGATCGAAAATTATTTGTCAAATCGCCCACAATCTGTGCAGATATCAGGATCGTTTAGTAAAGAAATGTATATTAAGTGTGGTGTCCCACAAGGAACTGTCTTAGGTCCGCTATTATTCAATATATATTTAAATGATATTTTCCAAATTAATTGTGTTAAATAACTAGTCTTGCAGATGATACTGCAATATTGTATGAAGGCACTGACTGGTCTGATCTGAAAAATGTAATTGAAAATGATTTTATCAAAATTATTCTGTGGTTTAACAGTAGAAAATTAAGCATTATCTATTCTAAAACACATTTTTTACCATTTGGATCTTATGCTAGACATCTGCCAAATTACACAAATTTTTCCTTCAGCATTAATTATCAAAAAATGCAAATTAATAGTGTGCCCAACATAAAATACCTTGGAGTGGTCTTGGATCCTCACTT